TTCCCGTGGTGTCCCGTGGTGTCCCGCTGAGTGAGATCGATCGTGAGATTGATAGTGAGATCGACAGGTGTCCCGTGGTGTCCCGTGGTGTCCCGTTGAGTGAGATCGATAGTGAGATCGATAGCGAGATCGATGTGATATCCCGAGGGGTCCCGTAGTGTCCTATGGTGTCCCGCTGAGTGAGATCGATAGTGAGATCGATAGTGAGACCGATACTGAGATCAAGAGGTGTCCCGCGGTGTCCTGTGGTGTCCCGTGGTGGCCCGTGGTGGCCCGTGATGTCCCGTTGAGTGAGATCGATAGTGAGATTGATAGTGAGATCGAGAGGTGTCCCGTGGTGTCCCGTGGTGTCACGTGTTGGCCCGTGGTGTCCCGTGACGTCCCGTGGTGTCCCGTGGTGTCGCGTGGTGCCCCGTTGAGTGAGATCGATAGTGAGATCGATTGAATCAGATGTTGGTTCCCCCCCTTCTCCCCCCCCCCCCACAACCTCCTTATCACCCGAAGGGTGGTCGTATAGGTACACGTATATCGGAGGTTGGGGGGTGAGTCCGATGTGAAACGGAGACCCCCCCTACCGGGAAATCGATTTCGGTTTCGGGTTTCGTGTCGTGCGTGCCGTGCGTGCGTGCGGGCGAGGCGAAGCTGCATGGGCGGGCGAGAGGAAATCCTCCTGTGGCTGGGCCGCGGCCGGACCAAATGTAACTCCTCTGGCGGCCAGTACCGCGCAGTGTCCCGCCGGTGTCCCGCGGGTGTCCCGAAATCCTCCTCTGGCTGGGCCGCGGCCGCACCAAATGTAACTCCTCCGGCGGCCCGTGCCGCGCGGTGTCCCGCCGGTGTCCCGTGGTGTCCCGTGGTGTCCCGTTGAGTGAGATCGATCGTGAGATCGATAGTGAGATCGATAGTGAAATCGATACTGAGATCGATGTGGTGCCCCCAGGTGTCCCGTGGTGTCCTGTGGTGTCCCAAAAAGTGAGATCGATAGTGATTCGACAGGTGTCTGGTGGTGTCCCGTGGTGTCCCGTGGTGTCCCGTTGAGTGAGATCAATAGTGAGATCGATAGTGAGATCGATCGTGAGATCGATGTGGTGCCCGTGGTGTCCCGTGGTGTCCCGTGGCGTCCCAAAAAGTGAGATCGATAGCGAGATCGATAGTGAGATCGACAAGTGTCCCGTGGTGTCCCGTGGTGTCCCGTTGAGTGAGATCGATCGTGAGATCGATAGTGAGATCGATGTGGTGTCCCGAGGTGTCCCGTGGTGTCCTATGGTGTCCCGTTGAGTGAGGTTGATAGTGAGGTCGATAGTGAGACCGATAGTGAGATCGAGAGGTGTCCCGTAGTGTCCCGTGGTGTCACGTGGTGGCCCGTGGTGTCCCGTGATGTCCCGTTGAGTGAGATCGATAGTGAGATCGACAGTTGTTCCGTGGTGTCCCGTGGTGTCCCGTGGTGTTCCGTTGAGTGAGATCGATAGTGAGATCGATTGAGTCAGATGTTGGTTCCCCCTCTCTCTCCCCCACAACCTCCTCATCATCCGAAGGGTGTTCGTATAGGTAGATATTTAAATGCATGCTCATAGTTGCGTGTATCTATTTCCAGATATCCGTATACTACATTTATAAATATAACGGGGGACCGGGTCCGGGGGCCGGGGGCTGGGACCCCGACCACAAATGTGGGGCCCAGCGCGCGGGGAGCCCTGCCAGAGCGCCGGGGGCCGTCCAAGATCGCCCGAAGATGGCTTCGGAACGCTCGACAACGCGCTCCGACGGCTCCGGATGTCTTTCAAGACGACTCCCATGACGCCAAGAAGACCCCCAAAGGCCCCGAAGACGCCCCAAGAGGCACCCCGAGAGAGCCCCAATCAGCAGAAATCGTTGATTTTCTATCGGGAAACAAATGTTTTTGGCGTGTTCGCCTTTTGGGCTTCCACTGCGTCCAAGACGGCCCAAGAGGCACCTAAGCTGGTCGAGGATGCCCCCAAGAGGGCCCCAAGACGGCCTACGAGGGGGCCAAGACGGCCCCCGAGGCGCCCTAACCGCCCAAGAACGCCCCAAGGCGGCGCCCAAGACGGGGACAAGGAACCGCCTTTTGACCCAAGAGGCCCCCAGGAGACCCCAAGAGGCTCTAAGAAGCGCCCAAGAAGCCCCAAGAGGCCCCCATGAGACCCGAAAAAACACCACAAGAGGCCCCGAACACGCCCCAAGGGGCACCCCAATAGAGCCCCAAATGCATGAAAATCGTCGATTTCCTATCGGACAACTGTCATTTTTGGCGTGTTTGCCTTTTGGGCCTCCACTGCGTCCAAGACAGCCCAAGAGGCACCCAAGACGGTCGAGGATGCCCCCAAGAGGGCTCTAAGCTTGCCCACGAGGGGGCCAAGACGGCCCCCGAGAGCGCCCAAACCGCCCAAGAACGTCCCAAGTCGGCGCCCAAGACGGGGACGAGGAACCTAAAATGCGAGCCATTTGGCCCATGAGGCCCCCAGGAGACCCCAAGAGGCTCCAAGAAGCGCCCACGAAGCCCCAAGAGGTCCCCAAGAGACCCGCAAAAATACATAAGGAGGCCCCGAGCACGCACCAAGGGGCACCCCAATAGAGCCCCAAGAAACACACATCGTCGATTTCCTATCGGGAAATCTATATTTTTGGCGTGTTCGCCTTTTGGGCCTCCACTGCGTCCAAGACAGCCCAAGAGGCACCCAAGCTGGTCGAGGATGCCCCCAAGAGGGCTCCAAGACGGCCCACGAGGGGGCCAAGACGGCCCCCGAGGCGCCCAAACCGCCCAAGAACGCCCCAAGTCGGCGCCACGAGGAACCGAAGATTCGAGCGTTTTGGCCCAAGAGGCCCCCAGGAGACCCCAAGAGGCTCCAAGAAGCGCCCAAAAAAGCCCCAAGAGGTCCCCAAGAGACCCGAAACAACACCACAAGAAGCCCCGAAACAAGCCCCCAATGGGCCCCCCAAAACGGCCCAAGAGAGCCCCAGGGCGCGCCCAACAGGGTCGACCAGAGTCCTGGTCCGACTTTCCATACTCTACACAGGGTCCGTCCCCGGCGGTGCCTCAAGCAGGTGTTGCCACTGGAGTCCTCGATCGCCCGAGACAAACTCCAAACATTTTTCGCACAGCGATTCCTGTGTCCGTGACACGCTAGAGCCGGCGCGCGCGAAGCGCGCGCGTGGTTCTAGTATTATATATATTTATACTCACATACATCGTCACATATGTGTGTATGTATCGAGGACGCCGGCGGCGCATCACCGGCCGCTCCCTGGGAGTTTGTCGGCGTCTTGGAGTGATCCCGCCACCTTGCCTGGGTTGTGGGTCAGAGTCCTCATAGACTCTTGTAGGAGTCTCTTCGGACAGCTCTCGGGAGCCTCTGCGGGGCATTTTAGAAGCCTCTGGGGAGCCTCCTGGAAGCTTCTTGGGAACTGCTTAGGGCCCTCTTGGGGGCCTTTGAGGTTTTTTGGGACGCCTTGAAGGCGCGTGAGGGCCTTTAGAGTCTAGACTCTAGAGGCCATCTTCGGCGTCTGGGAGTGATCCCGCCACCTTGCCTGGGTTGTGGCTCAGAATCCTCATGTACGCTTGCAGGAGTCTCTTCGGACAGCTCTCGGGGGCTTCTGCGGGGCAGTTTAGGGGCCTCTTGGGGGCGTCCCAGGTCACATATATGTGTATGTATCTTCAGGGCTTCGCCCTCTGCCGCCGGCCCTCCTATTACTGGTGCGGGCGGCCGCGCCTCTTGGGGATCTCCTTGGGGCCTCTCTGGGGTCTCCTTGGGGCACTTGGAAGCATTATTTTGGGTCTCTTGGGGGTCTCCTTGGAACCTCTTGGGGGCCTCTTGGGGCCCCTTGGAACCGTCTTGGGGCCTCCTTGGGGCCTCCTGGGGCCCTCTCGGGGCGGAAAGGGCGAGTAGTCGGTTCGTGGATTCCCTCTTGGGCCTCTCTTGGGACCGTCTTAGGGCCCTTTGGGCCGTTTGGGGCGCCTCTCGGACCATCTTGGGGTCCTCTTCGGCCGTCTTGGGGCCGTCTTCGGGGCCTCTTGGGCCGTCATGGGGGCTTCTAGGGCTGTCGCGTGGCGATCTTGGGAACCTCTTGGTCCGTCTCGGAGCGTCGGAAAGCCCAAAAGGCGAGAAGGCACAACATCTTCAAAAACGCAGGGAAAGTCGTTGATGTTTGCTTCGTGGGGCCCTCTTGGGAGGCCTCGTGGAGGCCTCTTGGGAGCATCTTGGGCCGTCTTGGGTCCATCGTGGGACATCTTGGGGCCATCTTGGGCCTTCTTGGCCTCCTGAGGCTCTCTTCGGAGCCTCTTTGGCCATCTTGGAGGCCTCTCGAGCCGTTCTGGCCGCGCGGTGGCGTCACCATGAGAATCCTGGAGTGGCCCGGAGCAGCCTGTATTCGATGTTCCCCCCCCTCTCCGTTGGCTGTTTGGTGGCGCGGCGGGGCCCCTTCTCAGACAGTAAACAGGTGGCAGGAAACAGGACTGGAGAGACAGAAGGCCAAACAACAAATGACAACACATAAGACACGACAGCAGACCGCACACACCTTCGCAGCCTTGCACCCCCGGAGTGGGGCGGCGGATATATACACACATATATAGTATGTATAGCGAACATATATATATATATACATGTGTATATGTATGTATGTGTATATGTATGTATGTATGTATGTATGTATGTATGCATGCATGTATGTATGTATGTATGTATGTATATATATATATATATATATTTATTAAAAGATGCATATCCACATTTGTGTGCCACTATATGTACATGTGTGTATTATACAGAGGGATCAATACAGAGAAGGAGAACTATGAAGAGACAGAGAGCGACAAGCAGAGAGAGAGAGAGAGAGAGACAGGGAGAGAAAGACAGAGAGAGAGAGGCGGAGTGCGAACCGAGAGATTGCGCTCAATGACTCCAGACTTCCGGAGGCGCAGGAGGATGCACGGGAGCAGGAGGCGGAGGGCTCGCGAGGGAGCGGGCCGCCCCCGGCCGAGCCAGGCACTCAGGGAGGCGAAGGACGCCAGCGCCAGGGCGCAGGCCCGGCGAAGGGAACTGTGCACATGCACCGATCCTGGCCAGGCCCATCCTTGGCCCCAGGATCGGTGCATATACCTTCCTGGTCAAGGCAAGAGGCCGCATGCACCGATCCTGGGCTCAGGATGGGCCCGGCCAGAATCGGTGCATGTGCATAGTTCTCTTTCCTCTAGCAGGCCGAGGCGGAGGCGCACGCGGCCAAGGAGGCCGAGGCAGAAAGTGCCCCCGGCGCGAGCTTGGGCGCGCGCGGCGCGTCGCGCGGCGACGATCGCCACGGGGGAAGCGGGTCCTGAGGGCGACGGGTCCTGAGGTCTTTCGCCTTTTTCGGGCTCTCGGGGCCCTCCACGGGCCCTGCGACTGTCAGAAACGACTCGGGATGAAGATCTCGTCCTGGCGGGAGGGAGGCCCTCGTGTCCAGGACCCGTTTCCATCAGGACCCGTTTCCTTTGTGCTAAGTAGCGCGTCGCGCGGCAACGACGGTGACGACGCCGTCCGAGGCTCGGGGGCCGAAGTTTCTGGCCGCCCTCTGGCTCTTTCGGGCCTCTTCGTTGGCAGAGCATGGGGGCCCTGCGTGGCTTTTGAATGCTGCCCTCAGGAGGTCCTTCCCGAGCTTCGGGCTCTGATGGCTCGCTACGGGCCTCGACGCCGTCAGACTACGATCTGGGGGGGGGAAGCTTGTCGAGATGGACGCAAGGAAGGGCGCGTGGACCGATTTTGAGCGGATTCTGGTCGGGAGACTGGTGGGAGGAGGGGGAGGAGGAGGAGGAGGAGGAGGAGGAGGAGGAGGAGGAGGACCTGCCGCAAAGCAACTGGGCCTCTTGCCCAGATGGTGCTCCCCGCTGTCTCCTCGACCACTTCCCATATCCTATCCTATCCTCCTCACCCGCTCCGTTCCTCAAGTCTTAAACCATGCTGGATCAGCCAGCATTTGATGACAGAGAACTGTTGTTTTGGGGAGGGGGAGGGGGAAGGAGACGAAGGACCGCCGACCGCATTGATCGATCAGGCGAGCAAGAGGCATTCCTGGCCTATCTCTCTTTCTCTCTCTTCCTCTCTTCCCTCCCCCTTCTCTCTTCGGTCGGATTTGAGCCTGCGTTCACTTCAGCTTGTTGCTGTGTTCTGCCCGTCTTGACCTCACGCCGCTGTCCTCGCTGTCCTGAGAATGAGGATGGACCAACGTAACTCAGGAGGGAAAACACATATACAAGTAATCGTCGACTCCCCAGAAGATATGGGAAAATACGGGAAGTGAGGGGGAAGACGAACACCGAGAAAATATGGGAACACATTGGGAATCCTGTTATTTGTGTCTATTTATTTATGTGTCCCTAGGCCCCTTCAGTAACCCTCAGATGCATCAACTTTGGTGCAACGTGCCCTCCCACTGTGAGTTTCCAGGCGAGCCTTCCATATTGCCGCGGGGGACGCCCCCGTGACAGACGATCACTCCACAGGACTACCCTTCAGTCGGGCATGTCCCTTTATAGTGGGGATTTTCAAACACAATAAAAAATAGTATGGGGACGTTTTTTTTGAGCATTTCTCTAACATTTTGGGGTATTTGTTGATTGTTTTTATTTTTCCCTCCAAAATCCCCCTGTAGGGGGACAGGCCCGACCTAAGACTTCTTCAGGAGAGAGGAACCGTCTTGAATCGGCGCGCATCCTCCGAGCTGTGCAGAGCGCGAAGAGGTAGGACCCTGATGTTCAATCCAGCGATAACGCTGGCTTGAGATCAGGAGCAGGCAATTGCCCTCGATCGGCGTCACTGCTGCACGAGGCTGCACGCATGGTCATGCGGTTCGGCGAAGCCTCAAGCGAGAGCCTCGTGCCGAAATCGAGCCGCACGCTGCTCGCATCACGGCACCATGATTTTTCACTTCTGAATGTAGAGCTTCAGATCGGGTGTAGCCAGGACCCCAGGTAAGGGGACCCGGCTAGTGGTAGGGCCCCGGGGCCCTTGACTTGGCTAGAATCACTAAACCAGGTCTGCCGTAGCTGGTGGTTTTCGGGTGCCCTCCCCCCTTCCTCCTTCTCCTCCTGCTCCTCCTCCTTCTCCTCCTGCTCCTCCTTCTCCTCCTCCCCCCCTCTCCGCGAGGTTCTGGCCAAACATGAGCTCAAGTTTTTTTACTCAAACACAAAATGCTTGTTATGTGGCCTCCAACCCACCCACCCACCCAGTACATGACATAACGGCCGCAGCCCCACCCACCCTCGTCGCAGCAGTGCCTGATGTGTACCGTAAAGTTACGCATGCTGCTTGTAGTGCGACGACAGCGTGTTTGCAGTGTGCGCAGGCATACGCCTGTGGCTCGTATGGGCGCATCGTGCGCGCAGGTTGTTGTGGGGCCCACACAGGCGCGCCCGCGCGCTTCGCGCTATTGTGATGGTCGCAGGCATATAATGTTGCGCTCGCGGGAACGCCGCGGTGCTCACAGGCGTATTGCGGCGGCGGCGGTGCCGTCGGGGCCCGAAACGCTGTCGCTGCTCGGAGAGATGGGGGATAATGAGGTTGGATCCAGGCATCGCCACACACAGTGCTGGCATTGCCGCGTGGGCCCGTGCGCGAAGGAGCTCGGCCAACAGCTTGAGCCGAGACAAATCGTTCTCGGTCAGACAAATCATCGTCAGCAATGATCCAGCTCTCTTGGCCCTCCTCCTCCCGCCGTGCTCCTTCGCCCCCGCTCGCTCACGGGCGCTGTGGCGCGCGCAGTGGCCAC